ACGCGTTTATGCCTCATTCGCCCACAAGTCCACCTGCCCTCAAACAAATTGCTCCTGCAGGCATCAGGTCAGCGGCTCACTGAAAATAAACACGCCGCTTAACCAAAGAGAAATTTCAATCAGACAGACTTTCTGCTATAAATTCTCTTTGTTTGAGGATTTATACTTCTTTTCTACCGCCCTGCAGGGATGGATACCATTTCGCTTCCCCTGGAAAACAACAATCAAATGCACACCAGCTATCGGGTGTGTCAGAGTAAAGTTTGTGGTGACAGGTGAGCTGGCAATGTTGAAACATCTGAAAGCAGCAGCTGCAGGAAATACGGTGACACGTATCATTTGTTGTATATTTTGCACATTGTGATTGACATCTCCCTCCTACAGTGGATTGCAGTAAAAGGTCTCCTGCTTTCCAGTTCATATGAAATTCACATTATGTACAATTTTAAATGGCAAGACAAACAATGAGCAGGAAGTGATATTAATCTCTTCAGATACCAAGAAAAATAGCTATCCATCCAGTTATTCTTGGATTAGATGTCATACCAAAGAGTAAGCAGCAGCAAACTGTAGATTTCCCTTGGGGCCTCCAGAACATAATCCTCCTCCTTTCCCCAGGGTGGAGACTGTTGACTGTGGGGATGAGGCTGCATCATGGCTTTCAGACTTCCTTGGACAGCCATGCCGCCTGATAAGACAAAGTCCTGATTTTACCCGAGCCATGAAGATGAGGCCTATTGGAGGTACCTATATAAGCACTTTACCTGTTCTGCCCGGCTCTCATTGCTTTACCCTGGATTTATCAGTCATACCGTACACAAGCAATGCAAGGTCCCATTGCCTGCAGATACTACCTGATTGTTGTGGCTTTGACCTTGCATCCCCTGGAACTCTCTTAGAATTTAGAATTTCTGCTTTTGCAAGTGACTCTGTTGAAAAGAATCATTTTATTACATAAAAGACAATGTGAAATCCAGGCTGAGGTTGGGTGATATAATGATATACATATATATATAATGAGGTACCTTTACCCATGGTAGGTGGAAAGATTTTAAGTAACTCATCTTATTAAAAATCAATACAAAATTCCTATTAGATTAAAAAATGATCCCCACACAGGATCAACTACAACACCTGAACTCCACCTGTTGTGATTAACAGTACATTAAAAATGTATGCAAGTTAATCAAATGGCTAAATGCTTTAAATAGTTAGCTAAAAGAAATGGATAAATACTACCAATAATAATACATAGCTTCTGCCACTTCAAGCGGTAGTATTATGATTGGAGACTTGACTTGCATAACAACATATTTGCTAGCTATTTAATAGCTAAATAATATCCAGTTCATCATATTCAAATTAATATATTTGAAACATGACAGTGGTGTCGATGAAGGGGTACTGGAGTTCACCTGATATGGCTGTGGAGGTTCATCGACAAAAAAAGGCACTGATTTATATCATCAGACAACAGGCATCAGTGTGGGGCAAAGAAAATAACTGAAATAATTTACAGACTGTACAGTCACAGATTGTAACAACAGTCTGTGACATTAGTTTGAGTCATTTTCTCACTCGTACATGAAAGTAAACTCAAAAGTAAAATGGCCGACCGCGATGATGCACGGTGTAAGATTACGTTACCATAACAGCAGCGGTGCAGAAATTACATAACACGGGGACGATGATTTCATGAGATGATACTTTCAGAAAATCAATTTTAACTGACTACTAGTCAGTTAAAATGAAGTGTAAAGTTTACTTCTATTACTAACGGAAACCTGTTTCTCGTGTTGATAATCCTAATATATCGTGCTTGTGTGGGGACAAAAACTCAACAGAATTTGTGGTGCTGTCCTCTTGCCATCTTGACAAAGCATTTGTGAACATTCTGTCTAAAATATTTCCAAACTTTAGATGGTCGTAAGGGAGGTTTTTTAGCTGCGCTTTGTTCTCAAGGGGAATCACAATGTTTCACGTTATGCAAGTTTATGTATTTCTGTAAACGATGACGTCAAAGAATCGCCCCAGCCCTTCTGAAAACAGATGTATAATGTCTTCTGGCTCTGAAGGAACTCTGTCAAGTCTTTACAGATACAATTACCCTGATGATGGCATCAGTTTCTAAATTGGATTACTATATCACAATATATATTAACATTTGTAATCACAAGGTCCATTTCACAGCTGTTCTAGAGCTTTTGATCGTTTGACAATCTTTATCAGCAGATAGAGTTTGGCCATTGATGTCACTGAATTGTAGATGTTCAAATTTACATTTTCAAAGCATTTCAAGGCCTTCTTGTTGAGATTGAGACTACTGTATAAAATGACATACAGGGTGATAGAATTCAATTCAATTTTATCTATATAGTGCCAATTCATAACAGAAGTGATCTCATTGTACTTTTCATATAGAGCAGGTGTAGACTCTGTAGAAGATTTTATCAATATCACCCACCCCTAATTTATGTATGTTGTTAAATTGTGAGTGCACATTTTGATAAATAACTTTACTGAAGTCACACATTTTCCACCCTCTGTGCTACAGTAGAACCTCAATTTTCAGGCTCTTTGAGGACACAGGCTGCTCAAACCAGAGATCAGAATAAATCTCTGGGGTAATAAAAAGTCTTTCCCCCTCTAGCTGCTACCTCCACGTCCCTCTCCCTGGTGAACGAAGCTCAGTATCTCATGATCAACCGTGCCAGTGTGGAGCTCATTCGGAAACTAATGAGCAGCAGGTTTGAACACATGATGTGTTATTCAAAATACACGATTCTCTTGTGAAAATCATCAGGACGCGTCAAGGCCGTACATTAAAATTACAGCGGCTCATTTACGTAGGGAGACTAAGTGACATGCAATTTCCCCATTCCCTTTCTCAGGCAGGATGAGTCTGAGGGCGATCAGCTCCTTGACACACAGAATGTCATTAGCCGCTTCCGAGCCAATTTAGTCATCACTGGAGTAGAACCATTTGAGGAAGATAATTGGTCACACTTGATTATTGGCAACACTCACTTCATGGTGAGCTGACACTTTGAGATAAATGATGAAATCTTTACATGCATTGAATTTAATGTCTCAAAAAATGAATGCGCTTCCCTGTGTGATGAACTCAAAGGTTGCAGGTCTGTGTGGAAGATGCCACATGGTTGGAGTAGACCAGGACACTGGGACCAAAACCAAAGAGCCACTAATGTCTCTGTCAGTCCACCGCACTGGGAAGGTCAGTCAAAAACAATTACTGCTTGATCATGTCAATACTGTGTGTGTGTGGGTGTGTGTGTGTGTGTGTGTAGAGGCAGTTGGGGGCGGGCGAAATGCATGTGCATGAAAAGATAAATCACTTTGCCTGTTAACTTTATACATTTTTAGGTGACCTTTGGTGTGTACCTGACCCATCAGCTACCAGAGGGCTTCACTACAGCCAGTGTCCTCTCTGCTGGTTCCCTCATAAAACCAGAGCCACCCAGTTCTTGAAGTGGTCATCAACCTTTTTATTTATTTTGTTAACTGCACTGCACGTCCTATAAGATCACCTGTTAAACAATGTGGGGAGTTTCAATATATGCTCTTTTTTTTGTCTGTGTAGCCCTGGTTGCTTTAGTCCTCTCAAATGTCCTTTTCATACCAGAGCATTCAGATTTCATTTTCCCCACATCTGTTGTGATGGGAAATTGGATATTTGAACCCCCCCCTCCACCGAAAATGATGTGTGCTGCGATGTGAAGAATTAGACTAAAATTATCATTTGAATGTGTTACTGTGATTTGAGCCAAACAATGTCAAGTTGATGCCGTAATCGCTGCTCATGTTAACCTTCCAGACAATTCTTCCTCTGTTTTTCCCCCATGGAGGGTTATATTGCTATTTATTCAAAACACACCACCACTGCCACCTCTGCCACAAATCTAAAACATATTGCTCCCTGTAATGGAAAAACTTCCCAGACAATCAGTATATGCTCCCAATGTGATGCGGAGAAAAAGCAAGGTTTAATCAGAGTACCATGCTTGTACATAAAGTAGACATACCCTTGTATATTGCTCATCTATGGTGCAGTTATAAAAAGAGTGGTGGCTGCAAGGTTTTGTACTGCTTGTAGCAGGTTTGCCAGTCTGTGTGTGCCCACATGTCAAATGGTCATTAGAAATTATATGTATAAATGTATTCACAGATTGGATAGGGTAGAGAATAGTACCAGGGATTCCAAACAAGCATGACTGATAGAAGGCCCCGATCTAAGCTGAACTTAATATATAGATGGATGATAAATGAGATGGTAAATGGTTTCATTTATATGTTTTTATCCAATGTGCTTTGCATGAAAGGAAGTGCATAGAAAAAAGTGTGTTCGTAAGGTGTTGGACTACTGTGAGCCTCCAGAACACTGTCAGTGGTGGGACTATACAAGAGAGATGAACAGCATTTGTCCCAAAGATATTAACTCATAAGATATTTTCATAGGCCATAGTATATGATTCACATCATTTTACTCATCAAATCAAACCCATCAGTGACTCATCTACTCTGTTTTTTCCTTAACTATGTCATGCCATCTCTACCTCTTACTAGTGCATAGACTTGCACTGTCACAGCAATGTGACAATGATAAGTTGGTAATTGTTTCAATCAGTGATGCCTATAGTTTCTATTGTTGTATGTATGTGGTTTATTTATAATTTTTTTGCAATGAACTTTTAATTTCTGACATAAATGGAATCATATATATAGCTATGCATACAGGCATTTGCTGTATATTTTTGTAATTTTGTAATGTCAATTATGTAATTAAACACTGGATTGCAAAAGTCTGCCTTTTGTGTTGACACAACCTCATCGCCAGACAATTTTTTATATAGCTTAAGTGCCAGACCAGTAACATAGGCAAGGAAATACTGGATTTAAGGTGGCGTCATGCGTATCGTGTGCTTTGTAAATTAACTGTACAGAGGCGTCACGCAGTGCTACCTTAACAATCCCGGATTCCTCCCCTTCCTCTGGACTTCGATAAAACTTTTAGTTTGCCGCTAACCAGTGATCAGAAAAACTGCGTTACATGTATTTTACTTGAGTAAGACTGAGGTTACACGATGAAGAAAAGGGTCGTTAAAAAGGCTGATTCATCCTCCGCAGACGGCGGAGTCCAGAGGACCGCCAGAGCCCGGAGGAAGGAGGGGGCACCGTGAGTTAGATACCGTTTAAATGTTACTTCACTCATTACAAAGTTAGCTCAGATGTGGAAGTGTTAGGGTTTCTGCTGTCACAAGTTTCGTTCAGACGTGGTGCTCACAGGTTGTGTGAATGATCAGCTGTCGTTAAATAAGGTTTCTGAAGATGAGTGATTATTGCTTTTCTGTTAAACTGATCAAAATCCATAAGCTGGAGTTTCGAAATGAATGTTAGCTAACTTTAACGTTAAGTAAAGGAGTGACATTTACCTGTGATAAGACTTGTACTGATTTAGCTGATATACAGTGATAGTGATAAACTCCATAAATATATCAGTATATATAACGTTATATAGTATATATATATATATATATAATAGCCCTCCAGGACTTTGTTTAGCGTATAACGTTGTATACGTTAGTTACATCTGAAATGCTGTAATGTTAATGCAAAGGTTGTGTCATGTTACTTATTAACATAAAACATGTAGAAATTAGGTATTTAAGAGTATTTAAATGGGCAGACAAGTTCTGGCTGTAATGCATTTATTTCCTGGAAGTGTTGTGGAGTTTGAAAATAATTTGTTGTGAAGGACTGAAAATATTCTGCAAAATTGTGATTATCCCGTAAACGTTAGTCTTCACATTCATTCATAGTTCAAGTTGTAAAAGCAAAAAAACCCAATAAGATAAATGAATTATGTGGTAAAAATACTACAAAAATGGGCAGACGCCTGTTCTGTAGAGTGGTTGTCCAGTAGAACAAAGGTTGCATTACATCACACTGCAGTTGTGCATGCATTAAAATTCAGGTGTGAGCTTATGGACTTCTTCTAGAAAAAAAATGAAGTGAACAAGAAAGTATAAAAGCGTTAACTCAGATACCAGATGAGGCTACAGTTTGATGGCTGCTGAAATTAATGACCTCCTATATGTTTCCCTACAGCAGTGTGAAGAAATCAGTCTTCAACTAAAAGGGCTCTTCTGGCTGATTAGAGTGTTAATGGAGGGGGTGGGATGCATTGTCCATTAATTGGCAATAGTCTGAATAGCATCCTTTTTTCTGCTGTTGCCTCCAGGGAGTCAAGACCGACTCCAATGACAGCCTGCATGCGTGGTTAGATTATTCAGTTCTTCTCTCCCATAGTAATCTTTTCATATTAATACTGCGACCACAGACAGGGAGGGAATGTGGGCCTCAGTATGCATTCCCATGTACATCTGTTGCACCAGTTTTTTGTAAAATGTACCTACATTGAGCTGCAGGTGGTTCTTTTACACGTCTCAACAAGGTCATCCACCTCACCTTCATCCTCCCCTCACCGTCCTTTGTATATTTAACACATAGCCTATATTAACATGGGGTTATGGAACACTGCCTTTATAGGGGTGTTCAATACAACGAACTGACTGAATCAGTGGATTTTAGTGGTGGAGCACCTTTGTCAGCTCAGCTGTGATTCAGTTTGTTACTTACTTGTTAAAAGACAGTGAAAGCCACAGAAACAATCATGATCTGATAACTCTGCCTTTAGTATTACAGGCTGCTGAGCTGTTAACTTGATAAACAACAACTGTAGGCAAGTTTTCTACTTAACCCACACGTGACGGCTTGGACCCAAACGTACTACTGAACTAAAGACTGATGTGTTCACTGACAGCGCACTGATGCGACTGCTTTGCTTAGGGGGAAAAAAGTGAACAAACAACACAGTCAGTGACTACAAATCTTTGAACTGAATTGAATGAAGTGATTTGAATCAGTAAAGTGACTCGTGATTTCCACCTTTAGCTCCTCACAACTGCTGAGTCGTCCAAAAACTTCTTCAGCCATAATGAAGTAGCGCTGCAGCTGAGGTTAGATGTAAAGTGGGTTAAAGAGGGGAGGCGGGAGGTAAACGTTGTTACCATAGTGGTGATTTGGTGTTGTGACACTTATTCAGACTGGACACATAGGTTGTTCAGGGAGTGTCAGCTTATATGGCTTTCAAAGATGGGATATTAAGTAATCAATAATCCATAACAACTGTTGTTCAATCAACAGATGGGGATGTAGAGTGCTCTTAACACTGCTAATCAATCAGTTGTAGTCTGTTCTAGTTTAGCATGGTCATAAAAATGACGCAACAAGTATTTGAGTTACTTGGAGACCACCTGGAGACATCTCAAGGGCCACTGGAGGGGTCATATGCCTTTACTGACATAAGATAATAAGATGATGCTTAGACGGCGTCACACTGGTTTTATCTCTGTCTGCTCTCAGATCCCAAGGGTGGCTGAAAAGAGGCTTATTGGCCCTCTTTGTTATCTTCATTTTGGTGCCTTTCTCGCTGAGAATACTCCCAGAATTAATCCAGCACCTTGTTTACACTCACAGAAGTAAGTGAATTCCATATCTGCCTCTTGGGAGAACTGTAAATCCTCACATTGCTCACAAAAAGAGCCCTCCTCTCTTCTTTTCCTGTTTGTAGTCAGGGTGCCGTTCTTTGTTGACCTCAGCCGACCTGCTGATCTCTCCCTTAATCACACCATCAACATGTACTTAACATCAGAGGAAGGCATCTCCCTCGGTGTATGGTGAGTATGAGTCAAGTTTAACATTTTTCTCTTGTCTGGCATCAATATCAAATACGTTTTTAATGATCCAACTATCGGTTGTGTCTCTAAGCTGGTGTATTGTATTGAACTGTTTAAGGCACACAGTGCCTGAAAGTCAGTGGAAAGAGGCGCAGGGGAAGGACTTGGCATGGTACCAGAACAGGTTAAGCGATGGAAGTCCAGTTTTCATATATCTTCATGGGAACACAGGCACAAGGTATAATAAATAATGCATTGTATTGTAGTTGGCTCCTGAAGAAGCAGAGAGTAAAATTGCCACACAGCTAGCAATATTTGGTTTGGGGGTTTTTTTGTTTGTTTTTTGGAAACACCAATTTTTTTATGAATCCTTCCAACAGGGCAGCCACTCATCGGGTGGGAGTGGCAAAAGTGAGTGACCACAAACACAAACCTATTAATCTTTTGGAGGTCTAATGAAGGTATGAAAGTCCCAATAGCCATTCTGATGACAAATAAGCGTTATGTGTCAACAGGTATTGAGTGCACTTGGTTACCATGTGCTGGTGCCTGACTACAGAGGTTGGTGCAAATTAAGATTTATGACTCTTCTTCTGAACATTTTTTCCATCTCTGTGCTCCTTTGCTTTCTTATTGATTGTAACACACAACCTTCTCACATTGATTTAATATAATGTGCAGCCATGTGAATAATGTAGTGTAATGCAGTTGTGCTTGTTGAGTTGTTTATTGGAAGGCAGTCAAAAGTCCACAGTTCATCTTTAGGTCAGAGTCTAGTGCAGGTTTTCTCTCTGAGTGGCTGCCACCTGGTGGCAGTTAAGAGCAGCTCTGTGATCTGTCAGTGAGCGGTAGTTGATGTGAGAAACGCTTGCAGGGTTTGGAGATTCCACCGGGGAGCCAACTGAAGCCGGTCTGACCACTGATGCCCTCTATGTGTACAACTGGGTCAAAGCACACAGTGAAAACAGCCTGGTTGTTATCTGGGGACACTCTCTCGGCACTGCGTAAGTCAGGAAAGACTCCGAATAGTATTTTACTCAAGTAGAGACACTCTTTCACAAGTATGAAGGCCTTTGATCACTGCTGTAGTAACTGTTTTGGCATTGTGCATTGCATATTTCTTCGAAATATTAGACTTTAAACTAAAGTAATAGCCTGCAACATTAACACCTTAATGATACTTTTGCTATTTACGTCTTATTGTTATAAAACAGCAGCAATCTCTAGCAGTTAGCAGAGCAGTGAGAAGAGTAACACAGAGCAACACAACATGTTTCAAAAAGAAATCAGTGCAGTGCAAAACACTTTGAATTCAACACAGAATCCCTGCAAAAAGAAAGGCGTTCTCTAAAATAGTGATTACCTACATAATTGAAAACTGTAGCGGTTTGTGATTGGAGCATGTTACGGAGAGAAGTCCAGTTTGGAAAGATGAGTGGATATACACAGAAAATCAAAAATACAGTGTTACAGACAGATCTTGATACAGACAAATTTAATACAATCATGTCTAGCAATAAGATACAAATTCAAGGCAAAGTAGTAAGTGGCGTACTAAAAAAGAAAATCACCTACAGGTATTTGAATAGTCGTAATAAAAAGCTGCTTCTCATTTTTCCTTCTTGCATAGTAAATTATTTAGTTACACCAAACCAGTCCGACTCTGTCATCAGTAAAATACATGGTACATTCATGAGAGAAATTAGAAGAATTATCCCACAGCTACAATAAATGAATGAAGAGGAAAGTGTTAGCTCAAACTATACATAAACTGGAGAAACTGAAGCTGTTGCTCTTCATGTCTCTGTGCAGCGTGGCCACCAACACCGCTGTAAAACTCATGGAGCAAGGTAGGTTTTGCTAACAGTGAATTTTGGCAAATAGAAGTAAGAGGAAGTAATTCCAACATCAATATGATGACTATTTCCTCTTCTTTTCAGGTGTGGCTGTTGATGGTGTGATCCTGGAGGGTGCTTTCAATAGTGCTCGACAGGAAATAACAAGTCATCCCTTTACCTGGGTAAACTCATCCAACTTAACCACTTTTGATATTGTGTCACTGTGTTACACAAACCCCTTTAATGTTTTTTTTTTCTCTTTCTGTTGAAAGTATTACTGGACATTTCCAGGCTCTGGGTACTTTTTCCCAGAGCCATGGGCAGACAACAAGGTGGTCTTTCCCACTGAAGAAAAGTAAGTTCTTATGAAACGCTAACATGCTGGTTATACACAACAGTATGAAATGATGCATAATATCAAAAACTGATCAGCTATTAATATTGTTGTTACCAGTCAAATGTAATGACCTAATTTGTGTTTTGTTATTCTGCAGTTTGAAGAAAATGAAAAGCCCAATCCTTTTCCTTCATGCAGTTGACGATCACTTAGTGCCCATTCACATCGCTCAGCAGGTATTACTGTCACAGAAAGCTACATGTAAACTGAGGTGGTAGTTTCCTTATAGCTGTAAGTGATAAAGAGTCTTCTCTTGGATAGCTTTTTGTTTTAGGTAGACTGAACTTTCTCTGCTTGTCTCTCTCAGATGTATGAGGTGGCAGCAAGTGCCCAGAATGCAGAGCGAGTCAAGCTGGAGCCATTTGACGGTTCTGGGCTATCACCGGGGTATCTGCACAACGGCTTATACAGAGACCAGCGTCTGCCGGACATCTTAAAGTAAGAAACTATTGCACTGATAATACTCAGAGTGATTATATTCTGGTTTGGCGAATCAGTGCCTGTTAAATTATCTGTTTTTCTTTACTACAACATGGATATCTCATAATGTCTCCTTTGTAGGACGTTTGTGCTGTCATTGTAATGTTGGAAAGACGACTAAAGCAGAAAAAACCCTGCCAGACTTCAGACGCAGAGCACTGAATTAATTTAATCACACACTTTATCCAAATATGTTGTCTTTGCGGTTGCACATATGTGATTTAACTTTAGATTTTTATGAATACAAAATGTTTGTGTTGAATGTTCATTATTTTAAGAATGAATGCAAAAATTGTTCATACAAAACTTAATTTTTGGGTTACAATAGCATACGGTGCTGATGTGTTTTTTTCCCCTGTCTGTGGGTTATCTGAATTATCAGAACTAGAAATGACCATTCCCATTATTACAGTAGGTGCCCTCTACATTGTTGTGTGGTGCTATTGCTCATCTATATTACCGGATAATGATTTTGGTAATCCAGGTTTTGAGATGTCTGTGTGTCAGTGAGAATTCAGAATTATACAAGGTGAAAAGATGGCAAATTTCTGTTCTCTGACCTTGTTATCATAAGTGTGGTTTTAGGAAAAAAAAAAAGAATTATACATTTATTTAGTTACAGAATGTATTATATAGTTCAAGTTTAAAGAATCTCAGGTCAAAAGCCATTGCCGTTTAATTACATTATATTGTATGTGTCAGAGTCAACCAGCAGTTCATGGGTCTGTCGGTCTCAAGAGGGTCTAACTGCAGACCTCCACTGTGGAGTCGCTTCCACTGCAGGCTCCGCTCTCAGTTCGGCTTCACTTCCTTTTAAAAGAGAACACGTAAGGTATTGGTCTCAGAACGCCACTTTACCTCTCATAAATTCACAATGGGTTGGCTAGGATTAATTTGGGTACATGTAGGACCATGTGAAGTCGCTTTGAAGAATCTAATCTGTTCAGCCACTTAGGTTCTTCTATGAGCCCAGAAAAATTACAAAAACAGATATGACGGAATCTATTGAGACTAAAGAGTAGTTTTCTCTCAGAATTGCAAAATTCCTTGTGCTTCCAAATCTGTTCAAAACATATTTTTGATTGTGTAAAGCTGTGTTTTCTGTCCAATAAAAAAAATCTTCTGCACCCTTGGGCTGATTTCTCTCAATGCCAGGAACACTTTTGTGCATACTACATCTTAGCTAGCTACTGATTGTGGAATATACAGTATTTTTCTACTTATTTTAATTTTTGTTAATTCGCATTTCTTACTGTACCAAGTCCCCACTGTAAATTGTAGTAGATTATGGTCATGTAGCCTACTATGCACTGTTTCACTACAAATGAATAACAGGATGTACCTTTCAACAAGGCCTTCCGACTTCATTCTGTACAGATACATGCATACATTTACATGTTGTGTACACATACAATTTTAACTATATGTCACATTTTTTGTACATGTTAAATGACATTTTTAATAATTGAAAGCAAGTAAATAGTCCCACATTTGCGGAGTGGTGTCTTGAAAGAAAAATTTAATTGGAGTACCTTTGAACTACTGCTGAAGATGGAGCATTATCTAAAAAATATATATACTTAGATGTTGTGGGTCCGAGAAGAGAAGTATAACCAGATTTATTAATGACTTACAAGCTGGAGCCGCCATAGGCCACGGGAGAGATATATGTTCTCAATAAGCCATTGATTAATTGGACTTGAATCGAACGTTTTATTATCAGAGAAGCATGAACATTGTTGTTGTAAATGCATGAAAACTGAGTTATTGTACAGACGACTTTAGACCCATAGAGTGGCCTCATCAGCCAGTGAACAGACCTGTTTGTTGCACGCGTGGATCATGTTTCGTGCACCAGCTCTGTCAAAGGTGACGCGAAGCTCCGGTCCCGGCAGCCGGGTGACGTGGCTGAAGTTTGCGGACGATGCGCGAACAGAGTTTCAATACTCACCGTTTGAGCCACCGCTCTTCACAGTGACTGGAGGCTGTGAGCCACGTGACTAGATTCAGCCAATCCAATGTGCGTGCGGCGAGCGCGCGTGAAGCGCTTACGCCATATGCGTACGACAGCATCCCTAAAAATTGCCTCTGTCATACAACCAGGAAGAAGGTGGGATAGCCCTGCAAAGCTAACATCCCCAATCGTCCTGTACACTTTCTATGATAATAATGGGGTCTTCCAGGTGGAAGGTGGCAGCGGCGGCATTTCTTGCTCTAGTGGGCTCTTTATTACCTGTCGACGCAGACGAACATGAACACACGGTAAGAAAGCGTTTTGAGAGGCCGATTGAAAAGTGGGAGCCTTGAAAATAATGGACGTTTGTGCTCTGTGTAACCTGCTAACTGTAGCTGCGACGGCTAGCTGCATACAAGAAAACAGAATTATAGAGACGACGGAGTGCGTGGCCTGGCCCGTTGGATTATTTATCGATACTTGGTGAGCTATCAAACAGACAGGCTTTCAATTAGCTAGCTAACTTGTCATCACTTATCGGCCTAAGTGCTTACGGCTAACGTTTTCCTGCTAACTTGTTAGCACGTCTTAACACTGGTCTTCACAAGCTTTCCTTGAGCACCGGCGGAAAACTGCACTGAAGTTAGGCTAGCTAGCGTTTGTTAGATGTTCAACAAAATCAAATAGTACTTGTATAACGTACGTGTAACGCTTTTAGGCGCAAGGTTGTCCTTACAAACCGGATTTCCCCGAAGTGATGATTGCGATCATGTTTGTTTTATCGACCAACGTTGCCCCGAAACACCAGTTAAAACGACAGGGCCTCTCGGTGTTTCTTCACTCTTCTTCGCTTTTGTCGGACCCAGGCGTCTTAGTTACACCTGGTTAACAAGTTAATAAGGTATATTACATCGTCTTCTTCACATAATCCATCTGTCTTATGCGTTAAAAGCTGGTAAGGTAGCAGGAGCCGAAATGGCTATGCAAGCAAACTCTTTTCTTTTTACACTGACGCATCAATAACTTGAGTGTTACATTTTCATATCTTTGCATGGATTTGAATGCACTAGCGCTCCATTTACTATCAGTTTCACTGGATATGTGATGATAACGTTACTTTAAGTCACCTTCTTCCAAACACCATTGTCTAAATCAAATGCGCCTGTAGCTGTGTTGTTACTTATGTGACGGTGAACATGTTTTTAAAAGTTATTTCGAGTTTTTATTGTAGATTATCAAACCGCTGCACCTCCATCTGTTATGAAACCAGTAGGGCTAGCAGAGCTGGTGCAGCATACCTGGACTTCACAATGAGAGTACTTGTTTTTTCCTTTGCAGTACACAGATAAGGAAGAGGTAGTTCTGTGGATGAACACAGTGGGGCCTTACCACAACCGACAGGAGACGTACAAGTATTTCTCTTTGCCCTTCTGCGCGGGCTCCAAGAAGACCATCAGTCATTACCATGAAACACTCGGAGAGGCTCTGCAGGGAGTGGAGCTTGAATTCAGCGGCCTAGACATAAAGTTCAAAGGTATTCTACTGTTACACTGACATTCACCTGTTGAGCACACATGAACTCACAAGGGCATTGAAATAATAATTTGTCACTTGTCTCTCAATATTTGGGTCTATTGTTTTCCACACCTTTTTTTCCAATGTAACCAAAATAATGTGGTATTTGTGATCCCTGTAGACGAAGTCATGCAGACAACATACTGCGAAATTGACCTGGACAAAGCCAAGCGGGATGCCTTTGTGTACGCAATAAAGAATCACTACTGGTACCAAATGTACATAGATGACCTGCCCATCTGGGGTAAGTGACACAATTTCCTTTTTTTGTTTTTTTTATTAAAAACTGGCATGTAGGCTAGACAGACCTCTAAGAAATTGCCAGATACTCAATACATGTCTGTGCTCTGATTTGTCCTGTGATTTGGAGTATTAATGTGGTATTTTCTGGCTCTGCCTATCTGCCTCTTCCGTATGGTCTCAGTTATTATTAGTCATTTGCTTATTAGTTCATTAGGTTTTCAGTGATACTGGTGTCTTGTGTGTGTGAGTGCGATTATCTTGATATTGGGGAGGTTAAACCAGTTCTTATTCATGTGTGGGAGTGTCCATTCATCCTCTGCCAACCTACTAGGGGCGGAACAATACACACAGCCACGTATCAAATGGCTTTCTAATAGGCCCTCAAGTCAGTACGTGTGGTGAATCAAACCATTCAGCATGGGTTTTGTTCAGAAACAGTCCAGTACTCCGGTTGATTAGCGGCTATCTTCAGTTGCAGTCAACTGAAATGTTAAAGTACTTTAAAATGTGGTGGTGATGCACATTGTAGAGCACTTCTTAGTGACTATTTGTGACTAATTACACCCCTAAAACTTACAGAGGACCTGACGTTTTGGTACATTCACATGTGGAAAAGAGCCTTTTGCCTTTACCATTGTTTTTCTGTGATAAGAAGCATATTAATGAGTCACTGTCATTACAGACTCTTCTAACAAGCTATCAGCTATCACTCACATACATGGTTTGTACAGTGGTGACACTCCTACTGTTGCTCAAACACAACTTTAAGCCAGAGTTGTAGGTAGATGGTGGGGCACTGGTGTTTACTCAGACAATGCTGTATGTATGCCAATTTCTCAATAAAGATTTTGACTTTATATAACCATACCTGTTGCTAGTGCTATAATAAGAAACCGTCTGGTGCTTATTAAAGAGGCAAACACATACGTTTTTGTTTTATTCTCTTGTTTTATTTTTTAGTGGCCCCACATCTGCTACATTGTGTTGCCAAAAGGGAATAACATTATACTATACAAACAGGATGATAAATGTGCTTTTTTAAAACCTAGAATAAAGGGTAGCCAGTTGGGAATTGATTCAGAGAGATTTGATTGGCATCAAACTGATTTGCTCAGAGTTGGAGATTGTTTACGGTGGCCTGCAGGGATAAATTTTGAAAACCGCTGAGGCCTAAAGACTGAATGGAACAGATGAATACAGATAATGCTGTTTCAAAGTTAATGGGCAGTGTAGCAAGTGACCTTTATTTGGTATTTACACTCCCTGATTATTGATGTTATGTAACTGAAGGCTCAGTGTTTACACCTGTCCATTTGAACACTTCTGTAAGAACCAGATCTCTAATTCAATGCATGTCAAAACATTTTTTAAGGTATTGTTGGGGAGGCCGATGAAAACGGAGAAGATCATTACTTGTGGACGTACAAGAAACTGGAGATCGGCTTCAATGGCAACAGAATAGTTGATGTAAATCTGACCAGTGAAGGCAAAGTCAGACTCGTTCCAAACACGAGAATCGCAATGTCTTATTCGGTGAGTACTGAATGACCCAATCAACCCAATCAGTGGGCCTTTTTATATGCTAATACACATTTTATGTCTGTAGTATGTGTCTTGGAATGTCATGGGGTGCAGCAGAATAGTTTATGTACTTATTATAAGAATGGAATAAATCTGTCCTATCACAGGTGAAGTGGAAGAAGTCAGATGTGAAGTTTGAAGACCGATTTGACAAGTACCTTGATCCATCCTTCTTTCAGCACCGGGTGAGTTGAATATTCTTAGAGATCAGTGCTTCATCATGCAAGCCAAAAACACCAGTGGCTTGTTAAAGCTTGCGTATTACCTTTCAGACGATATGGGTTGAGCCTCATGCCACGGTAGGTATGGTGTTATTGACCAACACGATCGCTGCTGGTTGAGTTTTTAAGTGGCAAGAATCTAGCCTGGCTCTTCCTTAAAGGAAGTTTGGCTGATGAGTGTGAATTTTGTCCACCAGCTATTACAGTCAGTGGGTGAAAAATGTGTTTCCTGCCCTGACTTGTGCAGTGAAGCTGAGCCCACTGAGAAATATCCTGAGTAATGAATTCAGCGAGTTTTTACTGATAATGTTTCCCCATCACCATAACACAGTTCATTTTGTATTATTATAAGTTTGGGTATGTAATATTTTATGTTTTGATGTGTCTTTAACATGGTTACTTCTTTTAGATTCACTGGTTCTCCATCTTCAACTCTTTCATGATGGTCATTTTCTTGGTGGGTCTGGTGTCCATGATTCTGATGAGAACACTAAGAAAGGATTATGCCAGATATAGCAAAGAGGAGGAAATGGATGACATGGTAAGCATTGAC